GGGCTGGGCCAGCTGGTGGCCCAGCTGGGGGTCGGCCTGTGTAGTCGCTACTGCTTGCCATGGCCGCCCAGGAGCGCCTGGGCCTGCCTGTCGCCGCACCGAATGGGCAATGGCCAAGGTGAGGCTAGCGGAGCAGCGGTGGGCGCTGGGAGGGTAGCTGGCACGCCTGGGGCCTGGCGGGTGGCTTACCTCCCTTGGCCTGGCCTGGGAACAGGGTGGGGAGGCGAGGCCAGAGCGTGGCAAGTTTGACGCGGGGGCGGCGGTGAGAGGGAGCGCTGAGGGGCAGCCAGACGGCTCTTCCGAAGGGAGGCGAGGCTGAAGCGCTGCAAGTTTGATGCGGCGGCGGTGGTGGAAGGGAGCGCTGAGGGGCGGCCGGGCAGTTCTTCCAAAGGGAGGCGAGGCCGGAGCGCCGCAAGTTTGACGCGGCGGCGGCAGGCGCACTGAGGGGAGGCCGGGCGGCTCTTCCGAAGGTCTCGGCGGCGCCTCTCAAGCAGCCCGGGAGGACCCTCGGCCAGGCTGGGCAGGAAGGTCGCCCCCTCCAGCCGGCGCATCCAGGAAGCTTCGGCTCCTCCCCGTCACGGGCCACTTCAGCCTCTCGCCCGCGGTCTCACCTTGCCGGGGGCCCGGGACTTGCAGAACCCCGCGAGTTGCTGCCGCTTCCAGCAACTGGACTGAGTCCGCATGGCGGCGAGGCCTGGCGCCCAACCGAAGCTTCCAGCTGTGGCTTCTGCTCTCGCCGCCGCCTGGCCCGAATCTGCTCGGGGCAAAAGAGGCGGCTGCTGCCCAGCGTGCGGAACTCCTGTGCGGAACTCCCAAGCCCCACCATTCTCGAGACAAAGAAGCCACTGCCTCCCATCTTGCTCCCCCTCCCCGCCCGTTCGGCTGAGGATGCAGCGGAGGCCGGCCCGCCCGAGAGAAAGGGAGGAAACAGAGAAAGAGAGAGAAAGAGAAAGAGAGAAAAAGAGGAAAGAGAGAAACGGGAGAGGAAAGAGAAAAAGAGGAAAGAGGGAAAGAGAGGAAAGAGGGAGAGACAAGAGAGAGAGGAAAGAAAGAGAAGAGAGAGGAAAGAGAAAGAGAAAGAGAGGAAAGAGAGAAAGAGAAAGAGGGAGGAAAGAGAAAGAGAAAGGAAAGAGAGAGAAGAGAGAAAGAAAGAGGAAAGAGAGAGAGGAAAGAGAGAGAAAGAGGGAGAGGAATGGCACTTCTCCAACCAGGCTGGGCAGAGCCGGCAGAGCGGCCTTCCTGCCCCCCCTCCCTGGCCAGCTGGATGGGGGGTTGGGGGTCACCACAACATGAGGAACTTTATTAAAGGGTCGCGGCATTAGGAAGGTTGAGAACCACTGTTATAGAGTCTTTTATCACTGCCACTCGGGATGGGAAGGGTACCCGGGGATTCCCACTGTTTCCTGATCGCATTCAGAAACATAGAAGGACATGGTATGCAGTATTGTGTGGTTACCGGTTCAATGAAGTTCGGATCCGCCTCCGAGTCCGGAGCCGCAGTTGAAGTTGATGTAGAAGGCTTGGGACCAAGATGGGCCGTGGAAGTGGCCTTTCGGAGCAAGGGAACAAAATGAGACGGATTAAAGAGACCCGTAAAGGATGGCATTTCAGGAGGGTCATCCTCCTGATCTAACATCGGAATCCCCACGTCCGCATCATACTCACGAAAGGATGAACCCTCAGAGTAAGAAGATTGTGAGGGTGAAGTAGGTGCACCAAATGCCTCCGTCGTTGGCTGGTGAATCGGCAGGGGAGAAACCGAGGTAGCCCTAGGTACCTGAGATCTAGCCTGAAAGGCGAGCTCTACCGCCTGAGCAATCAACTCATTTAGACGGTCCTCCGTGGGCAGAGGGACCGGCTCTGGTAGTCTGAGTCCAGCCGCTGTGGGGGTAAAAGTGGCTTCCGGGGCGGACTGCAGAGCCCGCTGAACCACAGGCTGCAAGATGTGTTCTCGATGAGCTGAATCACCCGGTAGAGTGGTAGAGACTGTGTCTCCTGTGGACCAGATTCCCAGAGGGGAAGTGGAGGGTCCCAGTGGTAAATCAAATGAAGGAACTTCAGCCTGAGTGGCTTCAGTCCTGGTCTGTTTTTGAGCTTTAGAGAATACCCTCTCTAATGCCCGGTGTCTCCTACTGGCCTATTTTTCCTCCTTTTTAGATGTTTTTCCTGCAGATCTAGCCTTGGCTTTAGCCTTGGCTGAAATCTTACCTGCCGCCTCTTGGTTGGAAGATTTCTGTCATTTAGAGGCTGATGAGAGAGGTGAAAGTCCCTTCTTGGAAGAGCCAGATTCTTCCATCCTCGTGGATTATCACAGAAGCACGATTGGGTACTCCTGGTATCCAGAGGCAGCTGTTTGTCTTCTCTGGATAAGCACAGGAGCACGAAAAGGTACCCCTGGAATCCAGAGACAGCTGTTATTGTCAACTTGGATAAGCACAGATGCACGATAGGGTACACCTGGTATCCAAGGACAGTTAATTTGTGGATAGCACAGGTGCACGATAGGGTACACCTGGTATCCAAAGATTGCCAATTAGTGGATAACACAGGTGCACGATGGGGTACACCTGGTATCCAGGGACTACTAATTTATGGATAACACAGGTGCACGATAGGGTACACCTGGTAACCAATGACTAGTAATTTGTAGATAACACAGGTACACGATGGGGTACACCTGGTATCCAGAGAGTGCTGATTTATGGTTAACACAGGTGCACGATAGGGTACACCTGGTAAACAATGACTATTAATGTGTAGATAACACAGGTGCACGATGAGGTACACCTGGTATCCAGAAACTACCAATTAATGGATAACACAGGTGCACGATAGGGTACACCTGGAATCCAGAAACTGCTATTTTGTGGGTAACCCCAGATGCACAAAAAGGTACACCTGGAACTCAATGCTGCTATACAGGGAGAGTCAAGGACCTACTGTGTGTGTAAATAATATTGAGTGTATATGAGGAGACAACAGTTCAAATTCTGCTAGAAGGAGAATGTTACTAACTGAATAACTGTTTTGAAAAAGGATTCAGTGCAGGCTCCAAACAAAAAATAAAACAAAAAAACCCCAGATAATCATGAAAAGAACGGTTAGTTCTCAAAATGGCGGATTCAAGATGGTGGTCGATGTGAAAATGAAACTCACTGACACTGTTCAACAACAGAGAATGGTGTTCAGATCCACAAAATGGCGGACGCAATTCTTACTAAATATTTGGCCACCACTATACGTCTCTGAGCCTCCCTATAGGATCCAGAGAACTCCTCCAACAAGAAAATCAATAAAGAACTTCAATGGAGCAGCGTGTGCTCAGCCGGCAACAGGGGCTGCAATAGGGAAGCGATGATCCCTCAGCCCCCAAGAACAGCAAGGACAGCCCGTAAATAATGAAAGAAGGCAGAAAACAGCGTTTTAAACTGCTGATAAGCCTGCCTGCTGATTAGCACTTCCACCCCCCCTCTTGAATCGTAACTCTTGGAGCTGCGTTGCAGACTCCAATCAGGGAAGGAAACTAAAGCAAAATAGAAAGGACAACTATAGTTGTTCCTGGAGAAATTATTAAATGGAACTGAACTTAATAGGAATCCAACAGAGAAGGTTAAGGAGGATAGAAGAAAACGAAACCGAAAGACAACGAAACGCAGAAAGAGAAGCTGATCCCAGCCTCACTTTAAGGTTAAGAGGGGAAGGAGGGGGGTTGAAATAAACACCAATCTGACCCCAGTGCTGAGCCCAGCACTGATCAGAAAACTATTTAAAGTCAAAGAAAGATGGAAAATCCACCAATGGAGACTATACCTGCCTAAGAGCCAAACTTGCACGTCTGTTCATGGGCAAGATCAAGTCAAGACTGAGACCTTCTAGCCCAGGAGAGGCGTGGCAACTTTGGCTGACTTGATCTGATTGGGCAGGAACACAGTCTAAACCCATTGGTGGATTCTCCATCTCCAGTGCTGGAGAATGTATAATCTGCTCAATCCTTTGGCACTTGGATGACATTCAAGTTATCAAGCTCTACTTGACATTTGCCTATTGATTTCCCCTGGGGATACACTATATGATTCTCTTTGAGATGCACTCTTTCCCCCCAAACTCTCCCTTAATTACAGTACTGACTAAATATTAAATCCTCTTCATTCATTCCTAAGCAGCAAAAGTTAAGGCCTACCAGAAATAACTGCATAACTATTTTAACCTTGATTGAATAAACCAGGGGTCCGTTGACCAATACTGGACCGCGGCATGTCAGCAACTGGGCAGCACAAACAAGCAAATCCATCTGCGAGATGCAGGCAGCACACAAAACCATGCACCCTTCGGTCCATGAAAAAACCTCTCTCCACAGAACCAGTTCCTGGTGCCCAAAAGGTTGGGGACCTCTGGAATAAACTATATCCCTTCCCCAGATTTTTAATAATCTTACATTTTAATCCCTTCAAATAATGTTCTTCAGTTTCGTTTGTAATTAGGGACAGGTGGTCCCCCAAAAATTTCAGTTCCATGCTATGGAGGGCTTTAATAGAGAAAATAAGCACCTTAAATTGTACCAGGAAACAGATAGTGACAAATGCAGCTTGCAGAACAGAAGTGTAACATGTATTCTTCTAGAAACACTTAAAACTGCCCACACTGCTACATTTTGCCCCAACTGAAGTTTCTGGATACTCTTCAAGGGCAGCATCATATGGACCTCATATTGCAACTATGATTCCACAAGATTTTGTGAAATAAGTTCTAAATAACTTGTGATTGCTGCACTATTAAATATATTGCTTAAAAACATTAATTAATTTAAAGGCCTAATGGCAAGCTATTTTAACCTGGGTATCCTCCAGGTGTGTGGAGGATGTATCCAGGTGTATCCTCCTAGAACTCTTCTGTCTGATTGACAATTTCTGAAAATTCTGAAAGTTGAAGTCTATACATCTAGAAAGGCTACATAAAGCTATTTTCCAAAATTACATATTTTAATCATTACTATGAATTACCAAAACCTGTTAGGGCTTGCTTTAATTCATGTTTGTCAATCATTCCAGAGTTGTCTCTATCATATCTGCGAAAAACGTTCTGCCAATCAGAGATGTATTTCCAGACTCCTGTAAATTCATTGAAGTTTACACCACCTTTGTTTTCTCTGTCAAACATAGCTGAAAAAATAATTAATCTTAATTAATTTAAATAGTAATTAAATTAAATATTAATCTAATTTATTAAGTTTATTATGAGAAAATAAAATAATTTCAAAGAAAAAGTTAATTGTGCTGAAATTATTTTCCACTTTTATGTCAAAACAAAATCCCCGAAAGCAGCTTCTATGCAGGGCAAAATATAGATTCCCCAGAACTCGAGAAAAAAAGTTTGGTTTCAACCATTTTAAAGAGCAATTCAATTAGTTCTTCAATTGTAAGGACCTCCATCAGTTACCATAGTTTAAGAATAGATGAGTATAGGAGAAATACACAGCAAATTATGAAGTTTTTGTATACTACATCTGTTCCTAAAATTGTAAGCATTGTATATATCTTTTATAAAATACTGTAATTTAGCAGAATCTGCAGGGTATATGGTCCAAATTTGCAAGGATAAAAGTCCTGCCTCATTTTACATATGACATTGGCAACACAGGTTGAAAAAAAAATCTAGTTGTAAGTCTATGATTACCTGCATTTATTTAAATTAATAAAGCTGAAAAGACTAGTATTTTGGTTCCCACTTCAGACAAGTGCAACTTAAGTATAAAACAAATGGAGTTCAAATATTACTTACATAGAATAGATCTTACAGTTGCCGGATTAAATGGAGTCCATGTTCCTAAAAGAAAGAGAAAACATTGCATAGTACACATAGAAACAAGAACATTTCAAAGTAATAAATGAGTAGTAATTAAACAATTAAAGCTTATTAAAATAGTAGTACTAATAAATCTTACCTCTCTATTATGTTCATAAGTTAGGCAATCATTTACTTTTATATAAATTATCTTTGCTTACTAAGAAAATTGACTGTTTTACCCGCTGTTCAATATTTTATTAGTTTTGTCATGAATAAAGTAAATATGAAATTAAATATGTAAATATAGAATATTTTTTTCCTCATATAATAATATATATTTATATATTAAATATATAAATATATATTTTCCTCCTATATATTGTGTATAAGTTGGGTAGCTATATATACGTGTGTGTGTGTGTGTATGTGTATATGTGTATATGTGTGTGTGTATACACACACACACGCACACAGTTGCAAGAAAAAGTATGGGATAACGCGGAGTTTTGCATGAATTGGTCATAAAATGTGCTCTGAACGTCATCTAAGTCACAACAATAGAAAAACACAGTCTGCTGAAAATAATAATACACAAACATTACATGTTGCCATGGTTTAATTGAACATAACATGTAAACATTCACAGTGCAGGGAGGAAAAAGTATGTGAACCGTTGGACTTAATAACTNTCCTTATTGTAGATGTGTCAACAAAAATGTTAGCATGTGCCAGAGATTTCTGTAGGTCTTTAGCTGACACTCTAGGATTCTTCTTTACCTCAAGAAGCATTCTGCGCTGTGCTCTTGCAGTCATTTTTACAGGACGACCATGCCTAGGGAGAGTAGCAACAGTGCTAAACTTTCTCCATTTGTAGACAGTCTGTCTTACTGTGGACACATGAATATCAAGGCTTTTGGAGATACTTTTGTAACCCTTTCCAGCTTTATGCAAGTCAACAATTCTTGATCGTAGGTCTTCTGAGAGCTCTTTTCTGCGAGGCATGGTTCACATCAGACAGTGCTTCTTGAAACCTGTAAACCCATAACAGGTGTGTGTTTTTAAAGGGCAGGACATCCAATATCATCACACTGATTGGAGTCAAGGTTGGCTCACTCCTGGCTCCAATTAGCTCTTGGAGACGTCATTAGGCTAGGGGCTCACATACTTTTTCCTCCCTGCACTGTGAATGTTTACATGTTATGTTCAACCAGTGGTTCTCAACCTTCCTAATGCCGCGACCCTTTAATAAAGTTCCTCATGTTGTGGTGACCCCAAACCCCCCATCCAGTTGGCCGGGGAGGGGGGGCAGGAAGGCCGCTCTGCCGGCTCCACCCAGCCTGGTTGGAGAAGCGCCATTCCCCTCCCTCTTTCTCTTTCTCTCTCTTTCCTCTCTCTCTTTCCTCTTTCTTTCTCTCTTCTCTCTCTTTCCTTTCTTTCTCTTTCCTCCCTCTTTCTCTTTCTCTCTTTCCTCTTTCCTCTTTCTCTTTCCTCTCTCTCTTGTCTCTCTCCCTCTTTCCTCTCTTTCCCTCTTTCCTCTTTTTCTCTTTCCTCTCCCGTTTCTCTCTTTCCTCTTTTTCTCTCTTTCTCTTTCCTCTTTTTCTCTCTCTCTCTTTCCTCTCTCTCTTTCTCTGTTTCCTCCCTTTCTCTCGGGCCGGGCCAGCCTCCGCTGCGTCCTCAGCTGAACGGGCGGGGAGGGGGAGCAAGATGGGAGGCAGCGGCTTCTTTCTCGAGAATGGTGGGGCTTGGGACACATAGGAGTTCCGCACGCTGGGCAGCTGCCGCCTCTTTTGCCCCGAGCAGATTTGGGCCAGGCAGCGGCGGTGAGAGTGAGAGCCGCAGCTGGAAGCTTCGGTTGGGCGCCAGGCCTCGCCACCATGCGGGCTCAGTCCAGTTGCTGGGAGCGGCAGCAAGTCGCGGGGTTCTGCAAGTCCCGGGCCCCTGGTAAGGCGAGACCGCGGGCGAGAGGCTTCCTGGATGCGCCGGCTGGAGGGGGCGACCTTCCTGCCCAGCCTGGCCGAGGGTCCTCCCGGGCTGCTCGAGAGGCGCCTCCGGGACCTTCAGAAGAGCCACCCGGCCACCCCTCAGTGCTCCCGCCGCGTCAAACTTGCGGCGCTCCGGCCTCGCCTCCCTTCGGAAGAACCGCCCAGCCGCCCCTCAGCGCTCCCTTCCGCCACCGCCGCTGCATCAAACTTGCAGCGCTCCGGCCTCGCCTCCCTTTGGAAGAGCCGCCCGGCCACCCCTCAGCGCTCCCTCTTGCCGCCGCCCCCGCGTCAAACTTGCCGTGCTCTGGCCTCGCCTACCCACCGTTCCCAGGCCAGCCCAAGGGAGGTAAGCCACCCGCCAGGCCCCAGGTGTGCCAGCTACCCTTTCAGCGCCCGCCGCTGCTCCGCTAGCCTCACTTTGGCCACTGCCCATTCGGTGCGGCGACAGGCAGGCTTTAATAGAGAAAATAAGCACCTTAAATTGTACCAGGAAACAGATAGTGACAAATGCAGCTTGCAGAACAGAAGTGTAACATGTATTCTTCTAGAAACATTTAAAACTGCCCACACTGCTACATTTTGCCCCAACTGAAGTTTCTGGATACTCTTCAAGGGCAGCATCATATGGACCTCATATTGCAACTATGATTCCACAAGATTTTGTGAAATAAGTTCTAAATAACTTGTGATTGCTGCACTATTAAATATATTGCTTAAAAACATTAATTAATTTAAAGGCCTAATGGCAAGCTATTTTAACCTGGGTATCCTCCAGGTGTGTGGAGGATGTATCCAGGTGTATCCTAGAACTCTTCTGTCTGATTGACAATTTCTGAAAATTCTGAAAGTTGAAGTCTATACATCTAGAAAGGCTATATAAAGCTATTTTCCAAAATTACATATTTTAATCATTACTATGAATTACCAAAACCTGTTAGGGCTTGCTTTAATTCATGTTTGTCAATCATTCCAGAGTTGTCTCTATCATATCTGCGAAAAATGTTCTGCCAATCAGAGATGTATTTCCAGACTCCTGTAAATTCATTGAAGTTTACACCACCTTTGTTTTCTCTGTCAAACATAGCTGAAAAAATAATTAATCTTAATTAATTTAAATAGTAATTAAATTAAATATTAATCTAATTTATTAACTTGCCGCGCTCTGGCCTCGCCTCCCCACCCTGTTCCCAGGCCAGCCCAAGGGAGGTAAGCCACCCGCCAGGCCCCAGGCGTGCCAGCTACCCTCCCAGTGCCCGCCGCTGCTCCGCTAGCCTCACCTTGGCCACTGCCCATTCGGTGCGGCGACAGGCAGGCCCAGGCGCTCCTGGCGGCCATGGCAAGCGGCAGCGACTGTGCAGGCTGACCACCAGCTGGCCCAGCCCAAGGGAGGTAAGCCACCTGCCGGGCCCCATGCGCACCAGCTACGCTCCCAGCGCCTGCCGCTGCTCCGCTAGCCTTACCTTGGGCCACCGCTCGTTCCGTGTGGTGGCAGGCCGGCCCAGGCGCTCCTGAGCAGCCAAGGCAAGCGGCAGCGACTGCGCAGGCCAACCACCAGCTGGCCCAGCCCAAGGGAGGTAAGCCACCCGCCGGGCCCTGCGCGTGCCAGCTACGTTCCCAGCGCCCGCCGCTACTCCGCCTGTTCGGTGTGGCGGCAGGCTGGCCCAGGCGCTTCTTGGCGGCCCTCTCACCCGTGGCCCTCTTTTATTTACATTTAGTTCAGCAGGGAGGGTGGAAACTTCCAGAAAGCTCTTAGCTGCAGACAACTTGCAGCAACGTTTGCCGAATGGGACTTTTGGCAGGCTCAGCAGGGCAGAGACAGCCTGGACAATTCCTATTGGCTTTTGAAAGCCAATAGAATTAGACTCTATTCAAGAGAGTCTATTCTATTGGC